TCCGCCCCCCAGGTTCGAGCCCCTCCTGCCTCCGCCCCCCGGGTTCGAGCCCCTCCTGCCTCCGCCCCCCGGGTTCGAGCCCCCCCTGCCTCCGCCCCCCGAGCAGCCGGGACCCCGGGCGCGCGCCACTGCCCCCGCTTTCGCAGTTTTGGTAGAGACCGGACTTTGCCGCGCTGGCCAGGCTGGCCTCGAACTCCGGCCTCCCAAAGTGCTGGGGTCACGAGCGCGACCCACCGCGCGCGGCCTGTTTTTTTTTAACCCACAGTCCGTGGGGCTGCCTGGGAGCGGAGCCGTCCTTGCCGACGGCGGAACCGGCGGACGCTCCCGGGGCCCCGGGCCCTGGTCGGCAGCACCCACCGCCCCAGGTCGCCCGGCGGCGGCCGAGGAAACGCGCCCGCCCCGCCGCAGCCTCCGCGAGGGGTCTCCGGTCCGGGCCCGGCCGGGCTCTGAGGGCTGAGCTCGCGCTCGGGGTCCCCGCCAGAGCGCCGCGTCCCAGCGGACCGCCAGTCCCGGCGTTTTCCACAGAAAAGTGCTCTGAGCGGCGCCCCCCGCCGGCCGCTCCCGCCCCCCGCCCCTCCCCACCGCCCCCCGCCGCCGCCGCCCCCCGCGCCTCCCGCGCCCCCCGCGCCTCACCGGAACGCGCTCCCGCCGCGTTGCCACGGCGACCGGGTCCGTCGACCGCGTCCGGCTGCGCTCGGTGCAGCGCTCGGGTCCCGCCGGCAGGAAACCGGGTCCCTGGCGCGGGGTTCCGGGTTCCGGGCTCCGGCCCCTCCCGCCCGCCCAGTTCCGCGCTGCGCGAGCCCGAGAGGCGCCACGAGGCCGCCGCGGATCGAGGCGTGAGCCCGGCCTCCTCACCGGCCAGCGGAGCGACCCCGCCGGCCGAGGGTCCCCGGCGCCCGCTCCCGAAGGGTGGCCTGAGCCTTCGCCCGGGACGGGGGCGCACGAGGGCGGGCGGGGCCTGCGCGGGAGGGGGCGCCGCCCCGGGCCGGGGTGTCGAGTTCCCGGCGCCGCCCACGGGCCCCGAGACCCCGTGAGGGAACCGCGGAGAGGAGGGGCCGGGACGGACCGACGCCCAGAGGCGCCCCGGCGTCCCGGGGGAACAGCGTCCGCAGGCTCAGCCACTCCCAGCCATTCAGTCGTCAGAAAAGGCGTCTGCTCTCACCCGTCTGCGAGGGACGAACGGAGGCCGGGACGGCACGGGCAGCGCGGCTCGCGGAACCCAGCACCGCGGAGCCGTGGGGCGCGGGCGTCTGGCGCCTGGGAGTCCCCGTGGGGCCGGCGGCCAGGGCTCTGCTGTCGCCCCCCACCACGTCGTCACCGTGGGAGCCCCTCCCTGTGCCCGCAGCCGGGCACCTGCAGCC